CAACAAAGAGAGCGGCGTGTACCTACCCCCCCCCACTTTCCGAGCGATTTTATAAAAAGAGGGCGGGACCCGGCTACCTTTTTGATAGAGAGAGTTTTTTCTCTCTTCTAACAAGGAAAAGGGAGTCTTCTCCTTTTTTTTTTTCGGGGGGGGGGGGGGGCAGGGGGGGGGGGAATAGGAATCCGAGAAGGCTGAGCCACAGGGGCAGACAGACCTAGGCACACAGAAACGAGAGCACACCATCCAAAGACAGCCGAGCAAAGGCACGGTGCAGGTGAGGTGCAGAACTGACACCCACCTTATAGGCTAAGCCCGTGGTCGGCAAACTGCGGCTCGCAAGCCACATGCGGCTCTTTGGCCCCTTGAGTGTGGCTCTTCCTAAGCCTTAGGAGTACCCTAATTAAGTTAATAACAATGTACCTACCTATATAGTTTAGGTTTAAAAAATTTGGCTCTCAAAAGAAATTTCAATCGTTGTACTGTTGATAGTTGGCTCTGTTGACTAATGAGTTTGCCGACCACTGGTAAGCCCAACGAACCAGGTGAGTTAGAATTCACACCACTCCCTTTGCAAAAACAAACATGCTGAACTATGACTGTGCAGATCCAAGGAACTCACTTTTAAGCCCAGGAAACACTGTACATTGGAATCTCAGCCATGGAGAAGAGAATGCAATCAAAGGAGACGGTCCCACTGTGTTCCTGACCCTTGTGCACTTCCGGTCCCGCTAACACTGTCCCCAGCCAGCACTGCTTCCCCGAGATGCCCCGCCCGAGCTCTGGTCCTCTGAGCACAGGCTGTGCTGGACTGACTGCTCAGGCCTGACACCAGGCAGTCGGAGGGCTCCTCCAGCCAGAGGCACACATGAGGGTCACAACACCCTAAGCTTTTCAGGAATAAATGCTTATAACTTCCCACCCACTCCCCAGCCAAGGACCTCCAAGGAGTCCACAGAGGGTCCTGTCATCCAGGAATATCCTCATCATGGCTCTGAGAAAAGAACAGGGAGGTGCCCCTCCTCAGAGCGTTCACTTGGGGCGTCAACAACACACATTACTGAGCATCTATTCCTCACTACCGGCCAGGCGCTGCTGGGGACTGGAAATGGTTCACTGCGAATTGTTTTCTGAAGGTAATGATAAAATATGCAGATGAATAACTAAACTATAGAATATTTTATCTGTAAAGTGCCACGAGGGAGGTTCAGATAAGAGTGTCCCTTCAGACCAGGGTCTGAAAAGACCTCATGGAAGAGACACAATGTGGGATCATTCCTGAGCAGCTATAGGAACAGGGTGGGGCCACAACATTAGTAACAAAGAAACAGAATTTCCGGAGAATGGGGCCCAGAAATCAGGATTTTAAAAAGATTCCCAGGTGATTCTAATGTGCAGCCAAGGTTGAGAACCACTGCTGTAGAGGCAAAACGTCAACAGGCTAAACACAAACTGGCCTCAACAAGATGAGAAAAGGGGCAGAAAAGGGGGCCAAAGACTTAGTGGAGCTTCTCAGACTTCATTGTTGAGTTACCCAGACTCCACTGAGCAGCTGGTAAGAGCCAAGCACTTTGCCTGATGAAGTGCATGGGCCTTGCCCTCCGTGGGTGCGGGCATCAGCAGACCTCAGGGCAAGTGATGTGGCAGAGGAGCATCCCCCCTTTTGTTGTTGTTGTTATTCCTCACCAGAGGATATTTTTCCACTGATTTTTAGAGAGAGTGGAAGAGAGAGGGAGAGACAGAGACAAACATCAATGTGAGAGAGGCACATCAATTGGTTGCCTCCTGCACACACCATGCCCTCGACCGGACTTGAACCCGGGACCCTTCAGTCTGCGGGCTGATGCTCTATCCACTGAGCCAAACCGGCTAGGGCAAACATCCCCACTTTAGACAGTTACAATGTGAGGCCGTTCAGCACTACAGAGGCGAGGCGGGGGTACCAGGAACAGGCTGCACAGACTGAACACTGTTCAACCACGTCAGTTTGCTTAGGAGAAGTTTGAGTTTGGGAAGCAAAATAAAGCATTTTTCAACACGGTGAGGTACAATATTGTAATCATCCCCACTCTAACACTCCATAAGAAGAGCTCCCCCACACCCCATGCTAAGAGGAAAATTAAGTAAGTGATATACGTTTTCAATAAGTGGAACTGAGGAAACACTGCCACTCACGGAGCCAAGAGAGATGTTACTGTGGGAACTGAGCTGCACCGTTTCCATGGCTTCAGCCTCACTAGTTCCCTGCAAGTCCACAAATGTACGCTGCATTGAAACTTGAGATTGTTTATACTTTTTTTAAAAAATCTAACCCTGGGAAAACTTGCTGCCCCCAAGGTAGTTTCTAAATCCCCACAGCTGGCTGCGTTATGCACAACCCACACCAAACACGACCTGTACCCAGAGGGATGGCCTGGTTTCTCACCCAACCAAGTAATCACATCACTACAAACAACCTGTAACAGGCAGGGACACCTTCCACAAAGCCGGCCCTGGATCTCACCCTACGTGCTCGACATACACATTTCCCACAGAGCTATGAAGCAAAGAGAGCCACGCGCTCCCGGGGAAGGTAAAGCTTGGCAACCCGTCCCGGTCTCTGACCTTTGCTGGGCCATTCACATTCACTGAAAGGTATTTACTACAGATGAAAAACAAGCTTCGCGCAGCTGCCTCTAAACCCATCCCAAAAATAGAGCAATCACTTTGGTACAAATTGGGTCAAATGTATAAAAAAAAAACCCCGGCTCCCTGGCGGGAGGGCTGACATGGCATGGGACCTCGCTGAGAGTCAGGGGAAATCCACAACGCTCTTCCCTTCCCACAGTGGGAAAGGAAATATTTAAAGAGTCAGACAGAGAATAAACTCATCTGACCACGTGACCATCCTAGTGAACACAAGACAAACTCGGGAATGCTATGAGTTTCAGAATCCCGAGAGGTCAAAGAAATAGATGTTGGTTTTTAGAAAGGCCTGCCAAAAGAACACACTGCCCCATCCCCCCAAAAGAAAGACCAGTGTTTAAGAATTGTGAAAGAAGGATAAACTGGAGAGAGGCTGCCAGGGAGAAGAAAAGAGATTTACCCATCGCCTATATTTCACTCCATCCCTTATTAGCTAAGAAACCCAAATGGTTTGACAGCACATATATTATTAGTGCCCCAAATTTCCCTGGGAAGAATCAGAATATTAATTGGCTATACATGCTGAGCTTCATTAATTTTTCCTTTGACTTGAATTAATCTGCCTTTCTGAAAGGTGTTTATTTTCTAAGTTTGTTTAATCATGTTCTCTTGAGCTACAAAGGAAAAAAAAACAACAAACTGGGTCAGCATCCACGTTGTTAAATTTGGTAACAAGGCTGACACCATCTGTGGCCTAGACGCTGATGACCTACCCCCACTGATGGGGGCTTTTCAGGACTTCTGCTTTCCCTGTGAAGTGATCATCTAATGTCGCTATCTGCCGCGAAAGCAGAAGCTATTTTAAATATGCAAAGTTACACAAATCATCTTCAGCCCGGTATAAATATGTACTAACAGTAATTGTGTGTATGAATATCTAACTCCCGTTTACAAGTGAATTTTCAGTAGCCATATCCACATACTTTTAATGATCTAGAAATCTGACCAGGAAACCCCAAAGATGAATAGACATCATGCTACATCTGAACTGTGCCGCATAGCTTACATGTGCCATGAAATCTGGTACATAAACCGTGAGGGCTACTATCACAAGGGCACAATTTCAGAATCTTCAGAACTCGGCAGAGCACTGCCCACACCAATTCTGCTATTACAACCCTCAGTCAAGATCATCCAGCCCCACTGAAACACAGCTTCGCCACGAGAAACCAAAACAAATGGAAGCAGCTCAAAGAAGAGAAAGCAAAACAATGGAGAGCGTTTCCTGTCCGAGGCACGAGCCCCCTCCTCCATCTGCCTTCCTGCCCGGCCTCCAATTATAAAGGACTGATCTGGCAAGGATGCTGTGGCCCCAGAAAGAATCCTGAAATGGCTTCTGAATCATCAAGGAAAGATGACAGAATTGCAGAGGTAAAAACAACCCCAGTGACCTTCTCATCCAACCCCCTTAATTGGCAGGTGGGTGAAAGGCAATGCAGAAAGGGCATGGGAAATGCCCCCAAATATAGCCAGCTGACAGTCAAGTGAGACAAGCTCCTAGTCCCACACTAGCACTCTTCAGTGCTTTTTCACATTTAGTTTTTAACTATATCAACCTTTCCCGAAGGAAGCTCCACGAAACACTGGTTCTGTGATGTGTCCTGCCAAAACAATGTTTAAAGAATCCATGACCAATTACTTTTAAGGACTAGCTGAGTTAAACAAAATGAAACTGGTTTTTTAACTCCAAACTTTCCCGGAGCTTTTACTTGAGCTGATGTGCACTATAAATCTTGAGGAGGGCAATAAAATATGTGGAAGAATCCCAATTTATTTAACCACGGAATCATTTTATCTTTGGGGCATCTCATAGGACTGGGAGTAAGAACTTCACTTCTACACTGTGCTTCTCTGAGTGATGCACCACGTAGTTTATTGGCTTTGTTGCACTCTACTTCTCTAAAAATTAATAGTTTATACACAACATCTATGGTAATTCTCTACTTACCAGAAAAATTGACCAAAGTACCCTCCACTCCCAAATAACACTGGATTTAAAAAAAAAATCTAATATTATCAGGAAAAGAATGTAGACAACAAAAGCCTATATGGAGAGAAAAGTCATTTTAAAATCTGCTAAAACCTCTTCCATAAAAAGTTCTACATCTATTTATACAAGATCCATGACTTTAAACACTTTCATTCAGTATAAATTGGAGAATACGCGTTTTAAAAATAAACAACCACTGTTGTAAAGCTCCGGGAAACAACACATGCATAGCGGTGAACTTCCACCACCCAGAAAGCCAGCTGCCAGTAAGTATACAGGCAAATGATAACCACACATCAGGACAAGTAGGAACTCTGAGGACACTTACCAAGTTATGATTTGTTGAATTCGAATCATCTTCAGGGAATGGGATGTAAATAGCTAAGGCCACACAATTGGCAAAAATAGCCAATAATATAAATATGTCAAATGGTCTGAAAATGTTTGTTAAGGTATATACATATATATAGACACACATACACACACACACACACACACACACGTGTGCGTGTGTTATACAAACACAAACCATCTCTCTCATCGCACTCCCATCACACCACTTTTGAATCACTTTTAAAATGAAAGTTATATATACAAACTGACTGTTGTGAGAAATAATCTTGGGGGTCATCTCACTGTAGATGTTGCTATCAAATGACCTCTCCGTGTCCCCTTCTTCTGTTACAAAGATCATGTTACATTCATGCTTCTGCTGAGCATTTTATATTAAAACCTAAAAGTACATCCAATGAGGGCACTGTGAGAACCAGGTTTCGGCTTCTTATAGTTTTAAAACAAACAAGGGCCTAGAAAGCTAAATTTCTGGCTGTTTGTTTCTTTCCAGACCCAAAGAGAAGTCATCACGAGACAAATCTCTCCCACAAATCCTTGCCTCCAGGTGTTAGAGCCATTTTCTCGGGGATATTGGCTGGGTCCGTCTGAATCTCTGGACCGGGGCAGGCCTAGTCACCAGGACCTTCTCCATATCTCCTGGCTTGTCCCAATTCCTCAGACACCGTAATACGCAAGCTAGGCTTCTAATCAATGGTTTGCTTCAAATTAGAGCTGGACTGGAGCTCCGTTTACAATGTGCTGTTACTGCATGTACTTTATCAAACATTAAATTAAAAGCCATAAGAAATCAGCACCAGACACATTTTTTTTTAGCACCAGACACTTTCAAAGTAAAATGTAACAATTCTAAATCTCAGGGGTCGCTCTGTCTGGGAGAATCACTGAGGTCAGCTTTCAAGAGATACTTGCTTAAACATTCTGGTGTTACTAAGAGACATTGTCAAAACTGGCAACACCAAAGTTGACATCTACCCAAAAGACTGTTTTTCTCCTTTTGGTTTTCAGCCTTTCCAAATGTAAGGTTTCATGAGCACCGACCTAACCTGCAAGTTTGGGGCTTGATTTTCCAAGTGTTTCTCCCATATGCTAACCCACCAGGCAAGGCCACGGGTTTAACTAAACACCTCAGAGTACTGAGAACGTGAACAGATCCTCCTCCATCCACTCTGATATCCTTCCGGGAAACCCAAAACTGCTGCAGGCAATGAAAACCCCTTCCCTCCAAGGGGATACCTTGGGTTTCATGAAACCTCAGCCCTTGAAGAGCGTCAACACTCACTGAAGTAAGGACGTTATGTTATTCCCCCGCCGATGTTGATGGGTTTATTTTTAAATCCAGTTAGTTCTCATTCATGTTTATTCTCTTAACACATCTAGTCCTATGAGATCTCTTAACTAGAGGTCCAACTTTAAGGAAATCCAAATTAAGACGTCAGACTCTCCTTTTTATTTTTATTTTTAGCAGTTCCTACTGAAATGTAAAAAGCCAACTGCCCCAGCGTTATTCTATATAGAAACACACTGTCTCTCCCCTCCTCCACACCACCATGCTTTCTTTTTCATTTCCCGATACCTAAATGATAGACCAGCAAATCCGAGAAATACTGAAGCTGTTCAGGAAGGCCAAACAGAAGTATCTCGTTCTGTCTGGTGGTCCAGTTGCAGTCTCCAGGTACTGGTGGCCACGATCCCCCGGCCATAAGATTTTTACCGGCCAAGGAGAACAGAGCAACAGAGGAACGGATGGGTCGGATCCTAAAAATCCCTTCTGATAAGGCGACACTCCTCACACCCCTCAAGGTGCAGGACTCCCTCTGCCTTGCCTGTGTGCACACACACACACTAGGCTCGCTCTCTCCCCGAGCTGGCTGGGCCTGGCACAGCTGGCTTTCGGAGGATTTCTAGGACCTGCTCCCTGCACTAGAAGGACACTGTCCTTTGAAAACAAACAAACGATATCATATATATCGTTCAAGGATCTATTCTACCAACTGTCCTGTTTGTGGGCCGGCTCCTCCCTGCACTGGCAGCCGCGTCCCCTAATTCCTGTACACGCGTGTCTGGAGACACAGACAAGGGAGTCGGCAGCATGACCCAGAAGTCACTCCAGGCACACAAATTGCTACGTACAAATCACTGTGCACAAAGAGGAACAGCACCAGGCCTCCCACCTCACTGCGCAGGGAATGAATGACTCCAGCGAGGGGCCTCTGCTGACTCGGAGTCCCCACAAGCCAGCCTAAGGAGGAGGAGATCTTTCTGGCAAAATGCAACCACTGCCTCTGACCCCAGGGATGCCACCGGCACACCCTCTTTACCTGGCTCCCTCTGGGCCGGCACTGGTGTTCATGCTCAGACTAGAAAAGAATTTAAAGAGAGAACACATGCACACCACCCCAGCCATGTGAGAGACACCATAACTCCCTCTAGAGAAGAGACATCTGTTCTAAAAAGGAAAAGAACGTGAAAACTCCTCAAATCCTATCCTTGCATTTGGCTGCTCTCTCCAAAACCTTTCTAGAGAATTACCTCACTTTAACTCTGTGTGCGTGAGCACAGAGGTAGCCAGTTAAGACAGAGGGAATGTAAACAGCTGCCTGGCTAGGTACTCAAAACTATAAGAGGGTTTCTGCTCTACCTTCAGCCCTTTCCAACATCCTCCCCTTTCAGTGTGGCCCCTCCCACAAGATGGGGGTGTGGGAGGAACCCTAGATTCACACTCCTTCCTATAGTTAGAAACTGCTCTAAGGCCCCTTGTCAGCCCCAAATATACTTCTGGGGAAAGAAGATGCTTCCTTTTACCCAGACCAATGAATGGACTGGCTAATTAGAAGCCATTTGCATAGAAAGAAGGCCTCAGTCAACCTTTTCTGAAGGGAGGCGGTGGTAACTGGAGCCTGGCTTCCGGATCTGGGGAAGGGGATGAGCAGGCGAGCACCCTAGTTTTCCAAGTCCTGGACATAACCACCATCCTGGGGCACGTGGAGTTCAGTTTTAAAAATGCAAAGGGGACACCCAGACATGTAACTCCAGTCCAAGGACATAGACAGAATTTCTTATAAAAGCAGCCACTGCAAATTCCTCCACTGAGAGGGCTGTTCAAATAACTCCTACGGCCTGGGGAAAAGAGGCGGCCACAAACCGCTCCCTTCACATGCTCCCTCAAGCTCACGTTCCAAAAGCCTTTTTGGAACCTGTCAAAAGGAAATTCCAGAAAGTCATAGCATTGATGAGCAAAATGCTCCCTCCCGCAGAAGCAAGTGTTCGTCTCTGTAGTTACCTGAACAATTAGAATCGCCAAATGTCAGAGCTGGAAGCAACCTCAGCAATAATTGGAATTTCAGAAAAGCAAATCCCAAACATCAAAACGAGAAGATTCCACTAAAGGTGAAAAATGTATGTACTTCTAGTAGAGTCTCATACCATCTTCTTTTTTGTTCATCAGCAGCAGACCTTAATGGCAATAGGTTCAATGCATACCACTGCCCCGAAACGACAGTGGCTTTAAACTAGCCATCTAATGCCAAATGACCAAAAGTTAGTTCCACATTGTAATTATCTACCACTTGGAAGTTTTGGGATGTCACTCCCTCCCCCCACTACCACCACTACACACACACACATACACACACACACACACACACACACACAGGAGGTTAAATATACCCTCAGAGCCACCCCTCTGCCCCTGGAGGAGATAGGAAGGTATGTACAATGAAACGCTTTACACACAGCTTCTGCTGCACACATTCCAGACTGCAACCACTTTGTAAGCGCCATTGCAGAACACAAATCCTTTTAAAGAACAGATGGTAAAAGAAAATGAGAAAGACTTTCCCCCCTCACAAAAAAAGGATACTTCCATTCCACTATACTAATGCAGGCTCTTCGGATGGGGTTATTGAGTGATAAACAGAAGAGGGCGCGGGCAGGTCTGCTGTTAGACGAGTTACCCTGTTTTTTGCTCTTGGCGTATTGCTGACGTTTTCTTTGGGAGAGAGATCCTACAGGTGGGGGTGCGGAGGTGCTCATAGTTTGGGCAGCCTTGGCCTGTCGAGCAGCATCGATTGCAGCCTGCCAAGACAGGACGGTTTGCTTGGAGCTGTTCGGCTGAGAAGTTGGTCCTTCACCAGAGAGAGAGAACCTGGTGCTTCTTGCATAGTTTGCCTCTGGAAAGAAAGAAAAATATATATATTTTTTTAAAATAAATAGAACCCAGTGTCAAAAGAAAACAAAGATTGCCTCCCATCAGTAACAAGGGGGAAGCATTCCCATGTTCCCATTTTGAACCCCATGTCCTGTTTTTCAGTGACAGGGATCTGGTCGGCCAGAGCACTCGGCCCTGAGTGTCAGTCACACCGGACCGTGCAGCAGGACGCCCGGGGGCGCGCACCTCTCCACCTCCATGAAGTCACAAGGCGTCTTCCAGTGCATTGCTCTAGACAAGCTGAGGTCATTCCCACATTTATTCCACATCTATCTTTTCTTGTTTAAAACCCATGTGTCTCTAATGAGTTAACAGATACGTACAATAGCTTTTCTCTAGAATAACTACCACCATCACACACACCAAGAAAAGGCAATGCCAACAATTCAATAGTCTTAATCATTCTCAGGGTGTTACTCCAACATCTTTCCGCAGCCACCAATTCATTTTTCAGCATGGAAAAAGAAGTCCTCGGCTGGCACCAGGGCCGTACCCAGAGCCCCGTAACAAATATCTAGATTATGCACTGACACTTCCTGCAAATGAAAATTCATGATGGTTGGGACTCATTTCCTCCACGGGCTTCCGAAAACAGCAAACATCTTTAGGGCTTTTTTGCATTTTAAATTGCAGCCGCAGCAGCCAAGCCAGCATCCAGAGAAACAGACAAGGCAGGCAGCCTGCACCCCTGCGCCTTGGATAGCCGGGCTGGATTATGCCAGGGGGCCTCAAGGCCTAGCAGGAATCATCTCGGTGTAGCTGGCATCCCCGTGCACAAGGGCAGAACCCCAAGGGGACGGACGTGCAACGCCCCCTCTGGCTTTGGGTCAGGCCACTTCCTAAGCTGGCCTCCCCGCACCTGCCTAAAAAGGGTCACAGCCTCCTTACTGAGACAGAAGTCAAAGTGAGAGTGGTGGAAGTGGACGAGGGACGCGTTTGCAAAACCCATTCCTGCCGAGTACAGAACAAGGGAGAGTCAAAGCTAGCACAGGTCTGCCAGCCCAGCAACCCGGGAAGGGGGCCCCCCACCGGGGCAGGCAGAAGACAGTCCGGGCCTGGAAAGGTGTGGCGCCCAGCCTTTCCTTGGGAAGCGCTCACCTGGGAAGGCTGCAAGCCCACAGGGGCTGTGGAGGGCACCGGCGACCTCCTCGGAGGAAGGAGGAGGGCTGGCCAGCAGCTGCTCCAGCCTCCCTCGACCCAGCACAGCCGGCGGCTTGGTAGCTGCACGTGGTGCCGGGCCGGAGCCGGGGAGGGGAGCCCCACGGCGGCAGCGACTCCCCGGGCATTGCTAGGTTACCGCCGTGTGCACAGCGGCACTGGGAGCGGGAACACGAGCTCCACCGACCCCGGCCAGCGATTCGGGGGACTTGGCCTCCCTCTGGGGGAGGGGTGTGCTTCAGCCAACGGCGCGAAGGGTGAAAGCCAGCAATCCTAGAATTCTGAGGATGCCACGGGAGACCTTGTTCCCAGTCTAAAAGGGGCTGGGAACCAGGTGAAGGCGAGACGAGGCTGGACAGGGGGCTCCGGCTGCAGACTAACAGCCACCCCTCTTCCATCGCTCGGGAGCGCAGGAGGAAAGTTGAGCCCGAGGACGCGAACCCAAATCACCTCGGCGCGAAGCCCCCGCTGCAGCACAGCGCTCCGCCGCCCCCCGGCCGCCCCCACCCCACACATGCAGAATGAACTGTGCCATCCGAGGCCTGAGGCGAGAGCGGGTGGCTGTCACGCACATCCCCTCTCTGCAGATGACACCGAAGCCAGAACATCCTCTCCCACCCCTTCAATCCACCCCCCGCCGTCAAAAACGGGTGTGGTGGTGAGCGATGG